TTATTTAGGCTTAAGGAAACTTGAAAGTTTCCAAGTGTTAGAACCTATTCAAGCGTGGATCAAGCAAATGTCACACATGGATTACTCAAAGGCATACTTTAATTTGACAATAAGGATAATTCAAGCATGGAATTCATCTTAATCAAGCAAGAATTAGTTCACAAAAGTAAGTCTAAATCCAATGGCTTATTCAAGTGTGATCTAACTAATGCTTAAGACACTTGCTTTCTCTATTATCTCAAACATGTGTGGGAACAGTCTATAAGTCATGTGTGAATTAACCTATAGAATCAAGTAATACTTTTGAAATCTAATTAATACTTTTGAAGTCTAATTCAAGCAAGTTTCAGTTCTAACTTAAGCTTAAATTGAATCCACTAAGTCCTATAATGCATAAATGATAGTTGAATCACGCATAGGCCTATACTAGAACTCGCGTAGATCAGACAAATAAGCAAAGGTACATTTTAAATGTTTGACAATAAGGTTTTAAGGATTATGAGCCTAAGACATAATCTAATGGATGTATTCTTACCATTTAAGTTATGTGATTAGCTCTCATTAATTTTCACATTGAACATAAAAACAAAAACAAAATATAAAGCCTATAATTTTAAGTCTTCTCTTGATCTTCATTCTCTTGAAACTTTTGTCACTTCATAATTATATATTTGATCTATACAAGTAACAAACCCCTTTTTCTTGGTTTTATAATCATCAAAACACATAATTCAAAAAACTTGATCGATCACATTACACACAACCCAAACAACAATTTTCCACTTAATAGGTCATACAACTTAAATTCTCGTACTTGGTTCACAGTCACCCAATACAATTATAATTGAATAAGTGATAAAACTTGCTATAAAAAAATTTCATACCCAAACATGCTTTAATCATCATTGATAAGACCATGTGAGTCAAAAAAAAAGTCTCGTGGCTACAATGGACAAATTTACCAAAAGTCATGAGTCTACATGCTTGATATATTGCATTATTTACATACATTTTATGATGATTTTATTACACTATTGTGTTCTTGGAAGCTTAATTTTTACATATTAGGCATTTTAAGCCTTTAGAATCAATTAAGATTCACTCTTAACCTAATGGTATTTTAGTCATTTTGGCAATTTTAGGCAATTTTAGGACATTAGTTTAGTTTATGTCTTTTGTCTTCTTAAAATCAATGGAACAAATTTGAGATTCAAATTCATTATAGGTTTCAAAAAAACATTAAAAATATAAGTAATAGGATGTTTCAAGATAAAGACATTAATATTAGGTTGTCATGTTTTGTAACCTAATACCTTAGAAATGGCATTGTGCCTTGCAATTGGCCTTTGAATTTTGATTTGGAATTTTGCACACATGCTTTCATCATTCTTGTGTGTACAATTGCACATGGAAATAAAGATTTGGATGAAGATTAAATGGCCAACATATTGGATTACATGACAAATTGCAAAACTAGGAAACCCTAGAGTGACACATGTATATAAGTTAATACAGGAAACTTCTTAAGACTCCAAGCATGGAAGAACTCGACGAAGCAGCCATTAACCATTGTCTCATCATCATTTTAGAAGTATTAATAAGTTTTGATCAAGTGTAGAAGACTCCAAGAAGAGCTACAAGTACACTCAAATTAATCTAGCTTGATTAGTAGTCACATTCATGATTTAACTTCCCAACCAAGTTGGTTAACTAATTTTAGATTTTCCTTAGCTCTGATTACTAGAACCTATTCTATTTCACTTATTTTATACCCTCACATGTTGATCAAGCGGGCTAAATGTGAATCACAAGGGGAACACTTCATTTTACACATTGCAATTCACATCTCACTCTCTCTCATTCTTTAATTTCCATTCCTCTCCATTTTCTCTCATTCTCTTCACTTCCAACCCTAATTCGTCTCATCTCAATCAAGATTTAAAGCTATAGAGGCCATCAAGGGAGGGATTTCTATACAAATTATAAAAGAAACCATTATGAGAGGCTAGATTTCTCTTTCTAAGGAGATAAAGCCATAACTTGAGTCTTTCTAAACCTTATCTATTTAGGTCTTAAACTCAAGTTAATTACATGATATTGATTGGTTTAGAGTATCTAAACATGACCAAGGTAAGAGTTAGGGCTAATGTCAAGAGTTGATCACAGATTGGTATAGTTTTCAAGGTGTTTATGTATTAGTCTAATCACTTATGCATAGTCCTAAAGGTAATTTAAGTATCCTCATATGTCAATTGAAGATTAAAATCGAACTCAATCAAAGTTAGGAAGGGTAATGATGGGAGTGGGGTAGTCTATCCTTGAAGAGCTACTTTGAATATTTGGTTAAGTCTATATCATTTTTCTTTAGTTGCTTGGTTAAAAATCCAAAAATATAAACTCTCTTGAATTCTCTTCTAGAATTAATTTGTTTAGGTCATTGGATTGGTTTTTGATTGCCATTATATGCTTCCTTAGGATTAAATTACCTAAGGTATACTCTCAACTACATCTTAATTTTCTTTGAAGACTTAATACGACTGAGGGCTTTTCAATGCTCAATTACAAAATAATGCCCTAGGTTGGCAAAAACATAAAGAGGACTAAACAAGCTTAAATGGTGTCCTACACACCACAACGATGCAGTAGGTGCTTCTCCAGTTGGATCCTTTCATGTAAAAATATTGATCATGAGGAATGAGACACAAAGGTCTCATTAACTAATACTAATATGTCATGATGCATACCATGCAATTAATCATGCAATTTAGACAATTTTAGTCATACATTTCTAAGTCTTAATATCACATTTAAGTTCATTCAATCGAAAGGTTAGCTACACCTCAAGCTTAACATCAAACCTTTAATTTAATTTGGATTAGGAGCTTGAGTTATTTTATAAACAAGTCATAAATTGATTTTTGGATCTCAATTTGACAAATACAAGTCTCGCAAGTGGCTTAACTTTCATTTCACACTCCCACTTGTGCATACCAATCCACATAAAAAAAAAAGCAAAATTCATAAAGCTTTTATCAAATGACTTTAAGCTTAAGGCCTCATTTCTTGTTAAAACATAGGCTTTTCTTTTTTCATTCATGGCTCTACTCGCAATGAAGACCAAGATCTCTAGTTCCCTTCACTAATTTTGTGAGAAGTAAAGCCAATAATTCAGGCCAGCCCGAAAAAAGTTAGGGTTGGATTAGGCTAAGTGAGCTTTTTTAAAACGATAGGGTACTTTAAGTCCTATCCTAATAAGCTCAACCTAAATTGAGCCTAACCCGAATAAGCCTAACCGGTTCAAATTACCAGCTTTAGTGAGAAGCTTGAGTAAAGCAAAGTCCAAGATCTACAAGGTCAAGCACTAACAGTAGTAGCAGATGATAATGCAATCATCATCAAGAGCATTTAGATTATTTATGGTTGTGACCGTAAAGCGATGATTTGAAAGATGAAGAGGAAGAAGACACAGCCATGATTGATGAGAGTATAAAGAAATCAATCCAAGGAGGCTCCTTGTCTTGTGAGGAGGTGACAAAGGAGATGAAGCAATCAAGAGCAAATGATGAAAAGCAAAGGAAGATGAATCATTGAGTTTCCAAATGATTGATAGTAGTGTATTGAATGCTCGGCGACGGCCATAGTTCTTTTGAGTCGCCACCGTGTCGTGTCCTTGGGTAAAGGAAGTTTTTGATGGTCAACTAACTTTATATTTAATAACTAGTTGGGATTGCACTAATTTTGAAAGGAGGACAATATTATTCTAATAAAAAAATTTAAGATACTAGGCACATCTTGAAAAAAAGTTTTAACATATTTTTGCTATATGCTTGTTAGAATTATGTGGGTTTCTTACCCAAAAAAAAAATATTGAATTTGAATATAGGAGAATGAAAAAAAAAACCCTAAAATATGCAAATAAAAAAAAGTGCCACAAAATGTTATAATTATTGGATAGTTCCTACGGACTTGTCTAGCATATTAGTTTTTGAAAAAATGACAAATTTACCCCTATTTAAAATTTGAAATGAAATATAAAGAGAACAATGACTACTTAAGAGTAGAGGATGACAACTTTTTTTGGGCTATAATTAAAATTGAATAGCAAATTACAAGTATATTTTTGCCATTTTCTCTAACAATTAAATACAACATACTCCTCCAGTGCAGTATATAAGTCACTTTTTAGAAGTATAATCTAATTCACTTTATAAGTTATTTGTTAATGAGATTATTTTGTTTCAAATTGAAATCTACAAATTACCCTTAAAAAGTAAGAAAGAGAAAGACAAAAAAATAATATTATATGATTGACTTACTTTTTACTTTTTACTTGAGAATTATGTTTAAAATTTCACTTACTTTATTCCTTATACTTTTATTGCATTGATATTGATGAGATCAATGAAAATAATTTATAAATAGAACCGGAAAAAGTAAGGAGGACAATAATTACTAAAGAATAGGGAATGGTCACTTCCTGTGGGAATTGTTAAATATATTTTTTTTGGTGTCATTTTCAATTTTCATCTTAAAAAATTAAGATTTTTTTGAGCAACATATTATTACACACACAATTTTTCCCTATCCATATGAAAGTGAGATCAAGCATTAAAAGAGTAAAAATGAAAGCACATGAAATAACCTCTTGTATTTATTTCCTTAATATTTCAAAAAAATATTCAAAATAAATAGTTATTAGAATATTAAAACTTGGTTTAAAAGTGTAAAATGTGCCAATTGAGAGTTTGACTGAATGTTAAATGAAAGTTTAAATAAAAATTATTTTATTTTATTAATAATAAAAAAGAATTTAAGTATTTGGCTACTCTCATTTGGGCGAATTTCTAACAGGCTCAAATAAGTCTGAAGTTAAAATTTTTTCTAAACTTTTAAATTCAGTTTTAAGATTTGTTAAGTCAAGCTAGCATGTTAGATTTAAATTAATTTATTGGCTCTAATTTATATATATAATAAAATATAAAGACAATTCTATAAATAATCACGCGCGCGTATGAAGGCATTTTGGCTTCTACGCTATCCATTTCGCGTTCCCTGGCTACAGAGCACAAACACGAGCAGCTACCCTGAACGCAAGAAGCTACTTTTACGGTCAGAGACAACTGGGAAATCCGTAAGGTAGAGCTTGCATTTTTCGTCTTTCACTCTAATTTATCTCAAAATCGATCTGTCTGCTGTAATACTGAGTTGCAGAATGCGTTTCGAATTGCTGATTTTGGAGAAAGATTATTCTTTAATCAGAATCTGCCATGTTTATGTTGGAAAAATGCTCCTTTCGATTTTCTCTTTCCATTTGTAGTTTCAACACTGCGATTATCACTTTGTGATTTATTTGTCTGACCATGCTCTTTCCGAGTCTGATGCCTGAACTTTCCGTTGATTAGGGTTTGATTTGATTGCCGTTTCTTATCTTGTTAATTGGGGGAACAAATGGAAAAGGAGATAGCTTTGTTTTGAAAATTTGTTCTTTATTTTGAAATTTTGGTGACTAGTTATCTGCTGATTTGCCGTTAAGAGTTCAGGGAAAGATTCAACTATCTTCTTTTCTGTTTTTCTTTTGGTTGTGGAAGGAAGTTTGGGCCTTTAGTTCATGTAGTCTCTTCCATGATCAGTGTGGGACCTATGCAATTATTTTGAGCATTCTCAAAGGGGTAATATATAGAGAATACCCATTTTTCTCTTCGAATAGTTATTGAACAATGAGGTCTCTTTGAAGAGAGAAAAATGAAAAAAGAACCCTCAATGTCGCAGTATTTTCTGATGAAGCTTTTGTTGCCCCTTGAATTTTTTGTTGTGCATTAACTGAATGTTAGCCTTGCGCATTGCACAGAATCTAAAAGTTAATCCACATTGTTGTTAACTTATGAAGAGTACTAAGTGTTATAGAATTTATTTTATACTCCCTCTCATCCTAAATGTAGAAACTAGTTACTCCCTCTATACCTATATATAGGGTGTTTTCTAGAAGCTTGATTTGTCTCTAAATATGAGGGGTGTCATGATATTTTTGAGTAAATAGATATTTTTGTCCTTGTCTTAAAAAGGAAGGTCAAATTAATTGTGTGCTTCATCACCTACCACCATGATATTAATTGTAACATTATTAAGGATGAAACTGGAAAATTCTTCTGGTTTTATGTGCTTTCAACCAAATAATAAATTTTTATTAGCATGTGGGATTTGGTTAAAAACACCTTATATAGATGGGCAGGGGGAGTAACTATTTCACACCTATTAAGAAAATTAGGTAAGTTGGTTATTTGAAAAATGTGTGTGTTTCCCCACCTAGTTAAATAAGGTTTGTTGTTGTTGTAAACTACTACTAAATTTTCAAATATGAAAGCACTACCATATATCTCCTTTTTTTTTATAAGCAAAATTACTAATTTCAAGAAGCATTTATTGCATTTTTCTCAAATTGTCTCTCATAAAGTTGATGTTTATTTTTACTAGACTTTTTTTTTTTTTTGGTTACTTATAGGGATAATTTAATTCAATTTTTTTAATTTTAGACATGGTTATTACACTTAGTCAACCTTTTTAAATTGTATGTATTGGTTATTTTCTTAAAAATGGTAAAAAAATCATTTGAGATGGTTTGGACATGTATAGAGAAGATCTTAGGAGACACCAATGAGGAGAGTGGGACAAATAATTTTAAGCCTTGTAAAGAGAGTAGAGGAAGAGCAAAGAAAATACTTATGGAAGTTGTTGATCAAGACTTCATAATTAACAACATTCCTAAAAGTTTGGTAACTAATAGAGCACAATGGTGTGGTGCAATCCATGTGGCTGACCCTATCTAGTGGGATAAAGCTTGTTGTTGTTGTTTTTGAAAATGGAGGGAGTATGTGTGTTGGTTTTTTCTAAAATACTCCTTCTAATAATTTACATTGGAGTATTACTAGCTTATACATCATACAAGAATCTGACTATTGGGTTAGTTTGGAAAAACGATAATAAATATGGGAGACAAAGAAGATTGAGATCTTACATTTAGGATCAAGACAAACCTCCCAACTAGCTCCTACATTTAGGACGTGAAGGAGTGTATTGATATGGCGTGAATTTTGATCTTGGAGGACCATCATCACATTACCCCATATATGGAGAGGTGACAAGCATCTGTTTTTCAAAATAGAATAAAAATTGACAAAGAAACATGAAATGTGCAATAGATGCTTGAAACTCTTTAATCACCAGGATAGTTTACCTCAATCACTAAACCTTTGTTATTGTCATCAAGTTTTTAGATTGCTAAGAGGTTGGATTTTATGTTTTTAATTCAAATATATCAAATGTAGGATTTGAGCTATGGGAAAGAGAAAATCAAGAGCGAAGCCTCCTCCAAAGAAACGAATGGATAAACTTGACACCGTCTTCAGTTGCCCCTTCTGCAACCATGGCTCTGGTGTTGAATGCCGCATGTATGCAATTTTTGACTATTTGTCAAGGGCTTTGCAAGAGTCTCTGATATATTTGTTTCTGAAACCATTTCCCTTTTCCTGTTATAGATGGAGGTGAATATTCATTTTGATACTCATTTTTGGCTTACTTTTGACAGAGATATGAAGAACCTGATAGGGGAAGCTTCTTGCAGGATATGCCAAGAGAGCTTTAGCACCACCATTACAGGTGTGTTTCAGGCCCTTATTTGTACTTTTTAGCAATGAAAACATTGATTATATGAAGCTAGTAATTAAGTCCCACGGCTGGACTTGGTTTTCCATCCTCACACTTGGCACTGTTTATAGAAATGATGAATAAATCAAATCAGTGAGGGCATTGGAAGTATGTGAAAAAGCCAATTGATATTGGAATATGCTTTGTTTTTACTTATGATGCCTTTTGCCTTTTTAAGAGTGATTGGCAATTCGCCCATGTTGTACTTGTAGACATCTGGCCCTGTGAGCCTCACAACGTGAGGTATTAAGGTTCCTTTACTTTTAGACATTAGGTCTTCTGAGGCATCAAGGGAGGGAAGAGATTTCCTTTACTTGTAGATTGTAGACGTCAGGTCCTGTGAGGTGTTAGGGAAGGAAAGAGATTTCCTTTCCTTCCTTGTTTTCTAATGTCTGTTTTGTCTTTGTAATCATTACTCAACAGTATATTTTTAACCAACAGCATGATTGTCATTTTCTTTCATCAAAATTATGTTTTCATTTCATTATTTTCTATTTGTTATACCAAACAAATCATAATGAGTCCTTTGAACCTTTTTTTTTTTGGGCGGGGGGGTGAGAATCATCCTGCATACTAAATAATCCGGATTGGGTCTATAAGGGGCTCTAAATAGAGGGAGCTTCCCTATGTGGATTTTTTCGGTTCACAAGACTTGCATTTAAAATCTTGCCTGAGCGACATCAAGTGTATTTCACTCAGCCTAACTACAATTAGTAGTGACATAACATTTTGAAAGCGTGGGCAAACAACATAATTCATATAGTCGATGATAGTTTTGGGGTGCTTGGTAGAATATTTTATTTTTGGATAAAAGTGCATTTTTGCTTCTGAAGTATTTTTTGAGAAGCACCCACCATCCTAAACTATTGATTGGAGCAATTTTACTCTTAATGTAATTAAAATGGAGCATTTTCACCGTTGCTGTTAAATTTTCTACGGTCAATGTTGAAGTCCCAATTAGCATTTTCTAGCGGTCAATGTTAGGAATTTGACGGAAAGGGCAAAGACACTTTATTTTAATTACTTTAAGGGTGAAATTGCTCTAACTAATAGTTTAAGGTGTTGGTTGCTTCTCAGAGAACATATCAAAGATAAAAATGCACCTTTACCTTTTATTTTTTCCTTTTCTTTGTGAATGTCTGAAAGAAAATGACAATTAAAACATTTTCCCTATACTATTCCGGTTGGAATAGCTTTACTTGTTCAGTTGTTCTTTTTAAGATTGCTTAACTCAACACTTGCATAATTAGAAACTCTTGCAGTCATTATATGCTCTAAGATCATATGCATTGCTGATAGAATTATTAATCAATCCTTTTCCTTTCATTTTCAGCTTTATCCGAGCCAATAGACGTGTAAGTGCCATCAGTCTGTGAAAAACCACCTTTGCCTTCTCACACACATGCACATACCTGCATGGAGTAGAACCCACACATGACTTAAGAATCTGTTTTGATATAATGCAGATACAGTGAATGGATTGATGAATGTGAACGGGTCAACAACCTCGAAGATGATGGCGCTTAGCTTAGAATTTGGATGCTGACTGACAACTGTGTTCGGTGGCAGAACTGTCGACAGAATATATCTGTTCTGCTTTGTATTTTCTACTGCCTGTATGTATACTATGCTTGTTCCTGTTTTAAGAAGCGATTGTGCAAGCACAAGTTTGGTTCCTATGTAGACTGGCATCTATGGCTTGCAATAGAATGTAAACGTGACTGAGAATAATGGAGCCTGCTTTACTATTTTGATGAAGTCATCCCCATAAGGTCAAACCTGGATTCGCGTGTGTGCTCATCAACAATTCAAGATAAGAAAATCTAATTTGGATGGTTTAAATTTGATGTTTTTAGTTTTAAATTTTTTGAAGTGATACGGATAGAATATACTCCCTCTTGTCATTTTCATAGGAGATTTTTTTTTTGAAGGTTTTTTTGATCCTATTTGTTAAAAAAAATATTTTGTCGGGGTTATTTATGAAAACTTTTTCTTCATGTCCTCGTTAAAAAGAAATATTTAGTAATATGATCAACTATTAAGAGTCATGAGTTGATAAATGAAAGTGTCTTGGGAAAGGAATTTGCATTTGCAACATATTTTTTAAGCCAACTAATTTTAATTATATTTCTTAATCATAGAGAGTTACTATTTTGATGAAGTAGTCCCCACAAGCTCAGACCTGGATTTGCATGTGTGCTCATCAAGGTAAGAATGGGAGTGTCTTATCATAGGACCACATGAGGAAGCTTATTTCCAATCAGTTCAAGAAATTTTGAAATTATACTGCAAGGATAAGGGATTAAATTTGAAATTATATTTTGGAGGGAAATAACCAAAATGTCCTTTAATTATGTTTTTCCACCTTTAAACATTATTGAAGTACCCTAACATCAATCAACCGTTATTAAACAACATTCGATGTCAGCATATAACCAATGAATGAAAATCAATTTGACCGGTTTAACCTATAACCTAATGAATTGGTTAGTTGGTTAATCCGGTTTATGATCTAATCCAAGATATTATGAATTAGAACTAAAATGGTTGAGTCAGGAGTGACTTATTTAACCCGGTTGTAATCCAATAGTGACCCACTCAACCCAGTCCATTTATTAAAAAAAATATTTAATTTTTAATTTTTATTGGGATTTTACTAAGTTTGCTAAATTTTTGTTGGGATTGTGTTCACATGTATAAGATTTTTTTTTCTCTTTATTGAATTTTTTGTTGGGTTATTTGAGTAGAACTAATTATTTTTATTGAAATGTTCATTTTTTTCATATTCAAATATTAATATTTTTATGTATGTAAATTAAACTACATTATTTCAATTAAGAATAGTTTGACTTCGGTTGACCCTCAATTAAACTACTAACCCTAATCCACTATCTTGACAAGTAGGTTTAATGATTGGTTTGATTTTCAATATCTTGCATACAACAATTAATTGGTAAGTCTAGCCTAGTGTTGAAATGGATATAGTTTGTAAACAAAAAAGATATTGATACAAGTGATTTTAATTTAGGAAAATAGCAATGAAGGACTGCTAAATAAAATTTATATAAATTAAGAGCTAATTATTATCAAAATTCAAATAAAAAAAACACTCAAATGAATTGTTATTAATTTAAAATGAGTTATTGTTAAAATATGAATAGATATTTATTGATAAAAGATTAATTTGACTTAACAAGTATCTATTCTTATTTTGACAACAAGTAATCTTTGACTGATATAAATTTTTTTAATAATTCTTAATTGATATTTTTCCTTTTAATCTTCCTCATCATCTCGATAGGAGTCTTTTTGTTTTTTTTTTTTTTTTTTGACATATACGTTCTCGATTGGAGTCTGTCAATAGATCCAGAGCGTGGGCAAGAGTCGGTTTTTCTTGGTTATGGAGTAGGCTGGAAAAAAACTTTCTCTAGGCAAAATTTTCTTTATATTTTTTTCGTTTTCATCCTAAACTGTTTTATACATTTTCTTTCTATTTTCTTTGTATTTTCTATCTTGTCGAAGGTATTTATTAAATTTTATCTTTTATATTCCATTTAAAATAGAATATTCATTAATTTGATTAATACTCAAAAGTCACCAGTTAATTAATAAATGAAAGTATTTTCGGAAAAATATTTGCATTTGCAAATGAAAGACTTGAAATGATAATGCAAGGTATTCCATGTTTAAATATATACAAAGGTTATGATATGCTGATTTACATTTAAAAAGAAAGGCTAAAATATAGATTTAGTCCCTTAACTTTATATAATATTTTATTTAAATCACTTAATTTTATAAAATATCTTTTTAATAATTTAATCCTAATACTGTTAGTTTTATCCCAATAAATTTTTATATTAAACTTTCAAATATTGACAACATATTCTCAAATGTTAAAATATTAATTTTAATTTTTTTAAAATAACAATGATTGACATAAAAATAATCATTTGAAATTAATAATGTTCAGATTAAAAAACTAAAAAGATATTTTATATAATTAAAAGACTAAATTAAAACCTTATATAAAAGTAGAGGACTAAAAGTATACTTTAGCTTAAAAAGAAAAAAGAAAACTTATATATTTGGCATTATATATTTAAGATTCTTACTTCTAATTAAATCAAGACATAAATATTTTTATATATTATTTATTCCATTACAAATTATTATTATTAATATTATTAGCCCATTAAAATTTATTTGTTTTGATTTAATTGGATAAAAATATAATAAATATATATGATTAAATACCTAATTCTTTGCCAACTACTTTTGCATTGCTCAAGATATCATTTTATTGAATGCAATTATATTTGAGACACAGTTGGGTAATAAATGTGGACATCCCTCATAATAGGTATTTGAATCTTAATTTACTTTGTCAGGAACTAGCTTGCCCAATTATTTTATTTATATAGTTTTGATTGAATTAGAACTCAATTACTAACCATTGATTTGACATAATTCCGTCCTATAATTTCAATGAAAATGATGGATCTTACATTCGATAAAATAAAACTATAAAGATTGATGTTATTTCTTAAATTTGAGGGACTAATGTCTTAAAAAACTAAAATTATATGAATTAAATTGCACTAAATTAAAGTTTAAAAACTGAATTTTAACTTCAAATCAAAATAAAAAAATTAAATTTTAGATCAAATAAAATCATAAAAATTGAATTATATTAAATTAAAATTTAGAAATTGAGTTGCAATAAAACCAAAATTATTAATGTCAAATTATTAATTTTTTTAAAAAAATGCAAAGACAATAGGAAATTACTTAAATTGAAGATCCGAAACAGCTAAGCTTACGTCATCCCTCTGCAAGGCCCTGTGTGTAAGTAGACAACAAAGGCGGTGTTAGGTCTCAAAAACAATACACTTATACTTACTATTTTTTCTCATTACATATTAATATCAATTATATATTTTTATTAAGCATATGTTACTTTTTTTTATTAAGAATATGTTACTGGCTTATATTTTATATAACTAGTTATCATTATTTCTTTATCAAGCATTAATGTTAATCATATCTTAAGTGCATTTATCGCTCCTACTTCCAATAACAATTAATCATTCTTTTCCAAATACATATATTGCTTATAAAATATTATTAATAATACCAGTAACAAATGCTATTATTAAAATAATTTTTTTGAAATTAAAATTATATAAATCTTATTTTAAATCAATCATGTCACAAAATAAATTGAATGAATTAACTATATTATCTATTAAAAGTAAAATGCTAGAATTATTTGATTACAAAGATTTTAATATTTAATTTTGCAGCTAAAAATCTAAAAAAATGACATTAAGATAGATAAATAATACTACCTCTATTACAAATTATAAGATATTTTTAAAAAAAATTTGACGTCTAATAAAAAGATTAAGGTTTCATAAAATAATCATATTCTAATATTACCATTTCTCCTTCTATTTAATTTCCTTCCCTCTCTCCTCCCCTTCCCCCCCCAAAATAAAGTAAATGAAGGTGTTTTTGAAAATTTATATTTTTATTTTAAAAAAGTAAAGTTGTTAAATGAATTTAATAAAATTTATTAGTATATAAAATTTTGTCAAAAAATATCTTATAATTTAAAACAAAAAAAGTTTTACATATGGGGTTCTTGTTTTAACAGCACCGTGCAAGTTTAGTTAATTGGGACATACTTTGTGTGCCCAATAAGATGGAACACCATTCAGACATGTGATCAAACATGCAAGAATTTGTCTGTCTCATTTTAGGGTGGAGTGGAGTCTTTAAATTTTATATGGGAAAAGATACATTTTTATCTTTAAAATATTTTCTGAAGAGCACCTAACACCCTAACATTTTTGTTAAAATAATTTTTTTCTTAACGTTATTAAAACAGAACATTTTTGTCTTTTTTGTCAAATTTTCAACGTTAAACTTAAACATTGACCATTAAAAAATTTGATGGAAAGGATAAAAATACTCCGTTTTGTTAATGTTAAGGGCAAAATTGCTTAAATAAAAACGTTAGGGTGCTAGATGTACATAAAAAAATACTTCAAAGATAAAAATACATCTTTATCCAATTTTATATATAGAGAGAAGTTAATTATTGTGCTCAATAGCAAAGAGTTTTTATATTTTTGATTAACTTTTACTTTTTTTAAAGAGGTGGTGGATAATGAAAAAATAATGTATGGTGTTGTAACTGGATTACGCCCTTGGACTTATGTAACTTTTGTTGGCCAAAAAAAGAAGAAGACTTATGTAACTTTTCATATTCAAAGGAGGGAGAGGGAGGGAGGGAGGGAGAGAGAGGGAGGGAGAGAGAGAGAGATGGGAACAATGCTCTCTTAATGAAGCTCTCCTATGACAAGTACTTTCTAATGAGCACCCTAAAATAATTTAAATCATTCAAGTTAATTTTGGCCTGTCAGGATTTAAACACTTTTTTTTATTTTAAAAAATAAAAATTTAGAAAAATTAATAAATTTATTAATTATTAATATGTACTATTCATATTTAATTAAGTCAGTCCAAATTTAATATTACTTTTTTTATAATTCTTATAAATTGACCATACAAATTTACTTTGGATTATTCTAAATTTGAGAGTATAATAAATTAAAAATTTTGAATCTGAACAATACAGAGTAAATCTGTATGATCAATTTATAAAAATTATAAAAAAAATAATATTAAATTTAAACTAATCTAATTAAATATGAACGATGTTGATAATTAATAGATTTATTCAAAATTTT